CACGAGGAGGTATCTAGACCGCAACACCGCGATGGTCATGTTCCCGCACTGAGAACATGACTCATCCATGAGCGCTGCCTCAGCGTCCTGCAAGCCCAGGCACGAGATACAGCGATCATGACTGTCAGATGAAGCCAGGAAGCAACCACATCCAGAGACGCACGAGCGGGAAGCCATCTTTACGCTGTTTACACTCGAAGGTGATTGGGCTCTCGGGCGAGATCCCAATTCGTCAGTCACGACTGCTTTATTCGCGACAGCCGTAATGGATTTAGTTTAACTGTACAACAGCATTTTTGTTCACATGAATTGCCATAGTTTCTAAAAGCGGAAACCAATAGCGCGGAGCCATTATTTAAAATTAGAATTTATAAATCCTTGGGAACTTTTGGGACAACGTAAGTACGCAACTGCATGAAATATATAACACCGTGCAAGTTGTTTTTGGATATTTTATTTTGAAAATCTTACATATTGTGCCTTTAATAGCGTACGTGAATGCAGGTAGTTGACACATGCGCTCTAGAAAGCTTCATCTTAGCCCAGCGTCAGCTCTATTTTCTACACAAGTTATGACCGATAAAAATGTCTTTGTACTCTTTTAAACTAAAGTTGTGTCATAACCCCCTCACACAAGCACTTTTCAATGGGGGTGTCTGTTCTTGCTTTCAGTCTACGCTATTTTGTTGCTGACGTTCGTCTCTTAGTTTCGTTTTCTAATGTGTAACAACGGCCCGGGCCAGTGCTGCCACCTTGTGGAACAACTGCCCTGATAGCACAATTACATCGTGGAGACGTCTATTTGACGTCTGCATTTACATCTGCTGCAAGATGTATTTTTTAGTGTTTGCTCATCTGCAATACGTCTATAGTGCGTTTCCTATCAGATGTCAAATAGACGTTTATTAGACGTCTTTATGATTTAGGATGTATGTAAAACTGACATCTTATAGACATCTATCAGAGGTTTGTACACAGCAGATGCTTTCCAGATCAAGCGATCTTTAACAGACATCTTGCAGACGTAAGTGTGCTATCTGGGTGATTAGTGCAAAACCAAGTCAATGTGCATGTGTGACCTGCACATACAAAGTATCACATTACAAAAATCGCGTCACGCTGACCCTCGCAGACACTTAAAACTAGGGATGCTCCGATCGATCGGTATCGGCCGATAATCACATTTTATGACTTGATCGGTACTCACTAACTTGGCCGATCTCACGAACCGATCGCAATTTGATGACGTCAACGCGTGACGACGTACAGGATGCGTGGGGACACAAATGATTTGGCGCCGCAGTCATGTCATCGCCAGTGTGGAAATGGACGGAAGGACGGAACAAAACCTCGTCGGCGCTGTAAAGGATAACGGTAACATAACACGCTGATCGTGGGCTGCTTTTAAATGAACATTTATTTATAAAACAAAATATCTTCTTTGGCCATATTAGCCTACTCAATAGCATTAACACAGGCTTTACTCCTTTCAAACTTTATCTGGAATATGTCACCGTTTCTGTCACTGCAACTTCCCGATGAGGCGAATGAACACACACGAAATCGTCTGCCTCATGAAAAAAATGTAGTTAATATTTGCTTTTATGCTTTATTTTATCCACCCGCGAGCCACCCGCAAATAATCAGAATGCTTTTTATTACCCGACCCGTTGCTGCGTAAATCAGACGGACTTACTTCAGAATTCATTCTCTGCCAGCTGGAGGTGCTTTAAAGCGGGAGAAACAGGTTTCCCCTGAGCTCACAAACGCTGCTTTATCAGGCATATAACATGCAAGATGAAATGAAAATGACATCGGCAATTTTCTGAAGATAGTCTTCCTTCAGAAATACAGTGATATAAAAACACCTGCGCCTCGTTTTGATTTTTGTACGTGCTCATGTTTATTTAACGAAGCCTTTTGGAAAATCGGTCAGTTTTGATATTGTGGCAAGCGCCACAAATAAATAAATGTATGGGAAACACATCCCACAGCACAACCACCTGAGTCCAACTTCAGTCTACTCATCACCTTAACTTTAACAGCGTTTGTAGCAGCCAGACTGATAAACAAACACAGACCGGAAGTTAACTTCGCGCCAGGCGCGTGCGCCCGATGAAACATCTATATAAAGCTTGAAGCATCAGAATCGGCCGATCACCATGACAAGAAATCGGTACTCAGTATCGGCTGCAAAAATCCTGATCGGAGCATCCCTATTAAAAAAACGAAGTTTATTTTGGGCTTAAGTAAAATTAATTGCATGTTTTTATAGCTCTCTTGAAATGTTGCTGACATTTGGGACATCTTGATAAAACTGTCTCCTGTTCTGTCCTATAGGCACTGATGAGGAAGTTGAGGGGAAAGTAATACCATTCCTGGCTCGTCCCGGTTGCAGAGGACATTTAGGATTGGTAAAAGGCAAGTCATACCTCATCATGGGCAGATCTGTTGACCTGCCAGAGCTGGGAGGAAGGTAGGTGTCAGTACTTCCTGACCTACAGTATTCTTCTTTTGCACAGAAGGACCCACAACCCAGTAAATTTAGGATGCAACATAACATCATATAAAAAAAATGTGTGATATTATCTAGAGCACTAATTTTCCTCATATAGTGTGACATTCACATAGAATTGCTGTATGAGTCATTTCTTAGACTGACGTAAACCAAATCAATCTTGGGTAAAGCGTCAGCTCATTGTCTGTTAGTGTGATGTTTGTTTTTAATGATTATATATACAAAAATTGATTCATATGTTTTGCATAGTGTGTTTTCTGTTGTTTTAGTCTGCAGTATGTTTTTGGAGAGCAGACCTGGGTTGAATACTGGCCTACAAGAGAGGAAAGCCCAACTCCAGAACACAGGCAGCGATACATCGGCATCACTGAGCTCAAGAATAGCCTTCTCAGATATGGATGCACTTTATAAATATAGTACAACTATTTCTTTACTACAGGAAATGTAACATTATCTTTTGCATACTCTAAATAAATTGTTCTTGATAATAATAATGCTTTTCACCAAAATATGCTGGTGTAATTCCATAATAAAACTTGAACATGTTCATGCACGATTAATCATGATGTGTTTAATCATGTAGTTCATGGATTCCTATTTTAAAATCTTGTTTTCTGAATTGAGCCTTCTCCAGGAGTTTGATTGACAGGCGATCTGACCAATCATAATGCCGAATCCGCCATTTTGTCTGACAAACAAAACAGACAGGAGAGTTAGTCGATTAACGGCAATAGAGTTTAACTTGAAAATGGGGTATTAACGTCTTTGCGCAGTTGGGACAACATACTTTCTGATGTTCATTCACGCTTGAACTAAGGCGCTACAGCAATCTGTCACAACACAATACGGTAATTATTGTTTGAATTTCTTTAAAAAATGACAAAATTTGAAAAATGAGACTTTGTTTCATACCTGCTTTGTCTTGTCTGTCGGCGTGTGTCTTTGCTCCGTGATGTATTTTTCACTGCCTGATGTGGCTTCTCAGACATATAGCAACAGTAACTAAGGGGGGTGGGTCTTTGCAAAGGGCCAGTTCCTACTTTAAAAACATATGAGTTACAAAAACAGTTGGTTATGTATGTGAAAGTTAACAGCTAGGAAAGAAATTGCATGTTTATTTTAGATCTGTGTGGCAGCAGCATATTGTACAGTAAATAAATCAATACATCCACTGCTCTCGTCTCCTCTGAGGCTGGGACTCTAAACAGTGTTCGGTGCTCGTCTGTGCAGCCAAAGACAGAACAGTTAGCATGCTTTGCTCGAACTTTCGCCATGGCGTAACTGGTTCACTTGTTGTCACTTGCGAAAACACAATGGCAGCGCCGTGGGTGGAAACATGCAGATTGAGGGGCGGTGAATTTTTTCAGATGCTTGCAGAGAAAGGCTTACCAAAACAATTTACTGGGATGTTCTTTGTCACGTTTCCTGGGTTGGTAGATAAGATGCACCGGGGACTGATTATAGCACTTAAAAAAAAAAATCAGATTTTCATATTTCACCTTTTATCCAAACAAAATTATCAAAAACACGCAGCAATGTGATTCTTCCATTAGTTATAGGCAGTGGGTTTAATCGATATTACTAATAGATTTACTATCTCATCATCTCCACAACCTGCTTCCCATGGTGTTTTTACACGTAGAAAAAGCGAAAAAAGTGTCCAGTTTCCAGTTTTTTTGTGAAATTAAATGGCTGAAACTTAAAATAAACATCTGGTGGTTAAAAAAACTTGACAGTTGTGTTATATGACAAAAGCAAAGCTTGAATCAAGTATATTTAATTTTAGCAGTTGATAAGGTCATGCGCTGATCATTCAAAATTAGTGCGGTCATCCAAAGCGTTAAACTGCACTGCACGGCGGCAGCACAAAATCTGGCCACTTACCATTTCATACTCCAAATGTGGTTCTGAAATCAGGATTAATGTTAGTGTAGTGATGTCGCTCACGCAAGATCTGCTTTGAAATATATAGCTATTTATTATTTTTACAGTCACAGACCACATTCGATAATGTATAGAAAAATTAAATAAGCTTTACAAATTATTAAAAAAATAAATGTGTAAAATGAAAAACACTGAAAAACAAAACTTAATTTCAGTGTGTGTCAACTTAAGTTGCAGTGCAGTTAAACTGCCGTCGGCAGTGGAGTGTTGCAGCATCTACAGCACCTAGTTCCTAGCACCATTTAGCTGCTCTGAAATCAGGCTTTTAAAGTGCATGTAAATGCTTTAACCTGGTGCAGTGCTGGCTGAACGACTCATCTCCAGATTTCAATCAGTTCAGTGAATTTGTGAATAACAAATAATACATTCAACCATAGCATAATATATAACATTGTCTTTGTGATGTTTAACAATCATTATATAATTTACACCAAAGATATCAATGTTTATTTTAAAAATGTTAGACTGCAGTGTTGTTAGCTTTATGTTGGGTGATGCTCTCCACTCCTGACTGCTGCTTCATCTCCAGAAATCCTTTTACTTCCAACAGATTAAACACTTGGGACAAAAACAGAATCAATTATTGATATTTTGTGTGTGTGTGTGTGTGTGTGTGTGTGTGTGTGTGATTATTTATTTATTTATTTATTTTTGTTTACAAAAAATAAGATATATTCTATATTCCAAGACATATTCTAATTCTTATTATCTTACACAATGGTGCTTCTCAAATATATTTAACATTATATTTTTAAAGGCAAAGTAAACAGAAAGTTTAAGAGATGGAAAACAAGTTGCTGAAGGTCACTCGTTAAAGGACCATGTAGTCCTAATGTAAGGCATGTTTGGACACATTTTGCTTTGGTTTTTATAATAAACATTGTAATTTGGGGGGGGGGGTGAGAGCACACTGTGGACCACACAAATATATTTGTCCATTTCCCAAAGGGGTCATATGATGCGCTTTCAATTTCATGTTTTAGGACGACTGTGCATAGAGGAGCTACAATAATGTGCAGTATGTGAAAAATCATGTTATTTTTTTACATTAAAGCATACCACAACATATTCTATTACACCAATACACAAAATAATGATCTTTGAAAATAGCATCATATGACCCCTTTCAGTAGGTCTGTGTCTAATTTGAATAACTTGTAGTACGAAGTGACAGGTGAATTTGCACGCACTTCAACAACAGAAGATAGGAAGTGTTTTGCCCTGCCTTTTAAAAGTTCAAGCACATTTGCTTGCTGTTTGCAGCACGACAAACAATCTTTCAATCAAACTAAGCAGCAAGACGGAAACTGAAGGCTTTGTACTCACATGATCACAACATGAAGGATCTGTTTAGCAATGGGAGACTTTTTTTTATTCTCTTGTTTAATCCTCTGCAGCTCTTGCATTGAAAATCAGCACCAACCTCGAGACTCGTTCATACAAATGAATATCCTGCCATGTCTTTCCAGTTGACTTTCTGTGTTGATGATGCAAATAGTTTGATGTTTGCAGAACTTTAGTCTATGATCTGGTTGACATCTCTTTAAATAAATCAAAAAAAAACCACACTTAATATTGATATAGCCTATGGTCATGATATGTCTTCTATCTATCCATCCAGATATAGAGATGTATGAGAGCATTCGCTTTTAATTTTTGTTTTATTCTGTTTCTCTTCTCTGACCCTGAACGTCATTGGACCCTTAAATTTAAATGGAGAAAAGATCAAACTAAACCTGCATTTTGGAAGTATTTCAAACTTGCAAATTCATGAAATGCTAGTGTTGTTTTATGAATGAACTGCAGAGAACAGAGTAATCTCAGAATACTAGGGATTTTTTCACCAGACAAATCAGGAGGAAATCTCTAGTGTTGTTTTATGAATGAACTGCAGAGAACAGAGTAATCTCAGAATACTAGTTCACCATTCACCAGACAAATCAGGAGGAAATCTCTAAGAGTTGGACGACTTAATTGTCAGATCAAAAAAAAAAAAAAAAAAAAGTGTTCAGATTGCTCTGCCAACTGGAATAAACAGATCTGATTTGATTTGGCCAGACGATGTACAGTGCTGAGGATGGCATTGTGCCTATTTTGCTAAACATGCTCCTTCAGAACTTATCTTCAGAACTCAAATTTAACAATGTTAAAATGGCTTAATAAAAATACTAGTCATGCAAAAATGCCGAAAGGTGTGCATGAGAGTTCGATTTAGAGCAAAACAACCAAAGTCATGGGAAAATACTGCTATATGAAAATGTATGTGTGCTTGAGTTATTAAGATGAATGCAGTGCAGTTATAGGGTGGAATGAGAAAATAATTCAATCGACAGAGAAAATGCACTTATTAATATTTTAGAGTTCATTCACAGCACTATAGCTCCCCATACGCACATTTACTTAGCTTATAACTAAATGGGGACATTCAACAGGGTTTTATTGTGTTACACAGATAAATCTAAATTCTGTAACCTAACCCTCACAGAACACTTTTTTATATAAATAATGAGCTTAAAAAGCTTTTGAAGATGCAACAGCACTGTAAAATATTCCATTTGGCTCTAATGAAGTCAAACACTAGCTTTGTGTGAAGAACGGACTGAGGTCATTATTCACTGAACACTGTAAATCTAAATAGAATATTTATTCACTGTTGAGCACAAAACATGCAGATAAATAAATAAAGAGCAGCAAAACTGTGGCACAGAGGTAGCATCTGCACTTGTGGTGATACAAGCAACGGAGACGTTCCCACAAGGATGCCAACCCTTTCAGTTCAAGAAATGATTTGTTAAATGTTCATGAATTAATATTACTGAATAACCAGACTGGCAGACCAATAACAAACCATGAACATTTTTCATAAATGCTTGTGTCAGACGTGTTTATTTGAGGAATCACTTCAGGATTAAAGTCTGAGTTTAAACCACATGTTCTTGAATAAATCATTGGTCTGTTTGAGAGACGCTTGAGGACGTCTGACTCACCTTAAACAAGCAGGACTGAAGGAGTCGTGTTATAGTAAGTACTGCTGTTAAAACACAACACTTGAAGGTCTGTAATGGTTTGTGTTTGACCTTTGTATGAGCAAAGTCACATGTTTTGTCATTTTATGAAGGGTGACAGTGAGGAGCTCCTCTAACACAGTGTCCTAACTTCACACGATGCGACAAGATTCCAGAGACAAGCAATTTGGCTGTCCACAACAGACGAGACACGACAACGCGACGTGACAGAACCACTCAAATATCAGCCATTCAGAGGCTTGTCATGTTGTGTGTAGTTAGGACACGGTGTAAAGGTCACTAAAACATAGACAAATGGCTAAAGCATATTATTTACATTGAGTTGGTTAGCTTAAATCAGTTTAGCTAATAATTGTTTTATATATTGTATGTCCAAATTCATAGTATTCGGAAAAACAGTAGGCGAAAAGTACCCGGATGACCTACTTCTTCCGCCCGGATTCTGAAGTGTGCATTCGATGAACAATTACTTTCCCCTGAGGCCACGGAAGAGGATTTATGAATGGCAGTAGCTATGTTTC